GCGTCCTGAGGGCGCGGCGGCGCTTCTCCTCACGGGGGCGGCCGTTGGCTGCCGGCCGTTGGGGCGGGCTGTTGCCGCCCCCTCGGCGGGGAGGTGGCTGTCCCTTTCTGCCACGCTCCCGCGTGTCCCTGTCACCTCCGTCCTTGCTCTTCCTCCCAAGCATGGCTCTTACTCCTCTGCTCTCACCCTGTCTCCCCCTCCCCCCGCACCTAACACTCGGCTACGCTCTGTGGTATTCTTTATTTCTATCTAGTTTCGTGGTAAATCCTGAGGTTTTTTCCCCAAAGTCCCCTCTGGCGACTCTCGGCCAGAAGAGGCTGCAAAGCCTATTGGAGAGGTTGGCAAATACAAGCAGTGGCTAGAAGCTGAGCATCCTGGCGAGACCGATGCTCATACTGACGCGTTAGACTAAAAGCGTTGCTGTCAACGCAGAGCAGACAACACCTCTACCTTCCTCTCTGTATTTCCCACTTAGAAGCTGCTGCCTCTCCAGTTTCTCACCTACCCCCGACATTACATTTGCATTACCCATGCAAAACCACCATGTAAAACCGTTTTACCCAACTCCTTAGGCAGTAGCGAGCTGCCCTTTCCATAGGACAGCACCAGGCGAACGAAGGGGAGACAGTCATTCTTGTATTTCTTTTCAGCTAAACCTAGAGAAATTGAGCGGTCACTTCAGGCAAAGCTCAGATATGGGTTAGAGACTTGCGATCCTATATTGCTAAACTACAGATGGCCACAATTAGATCCCAAATAGGTGACTGGGGAAAAGCAGGTCATGGAGTTGCAGTATGGAAACAGTGGACAAAATCTGTGCCAGCAGCTATTGGTTTATGCTGCTCTGATCCACTCGTCTTGAGGTTCATGCACAAAAGGTATTGAATTTCTATAAATATCTATGAATTGGTAGCTGTCCAGAGGATTGATCTTTGTGCAGACTGTCATGGAAGTATATCTATCTGAACTGACTGAACTGATTTATGTTCAAACTGAGCTTGCTAGAAGATCGAGTTGTTTGATGAAAATATGCAGCCAGGTATGAGGGAGATCCATACGACTGCACTTCAGATGAAAAGGTTCACAGTTTAAATCCAACTCTGTCGTTAATCACCACAGGGTCCATTCGAGAGTGACGTTGTAGGTGAAAGCTACAAAAAAACCTGCATAAAGTGGTCTTGTCATGGAAATGTTGTCTCTCTCTCCTGTTTCCGTCTAGAGTGTTCGTTTTTATGGTTGTTAGTGAAAAGGCATGAAATGATCTGTTGTTTGTATGTATGCGGGTTTGTCAGTAATTTACTTGATTGCATTTTTCTACTCTTAAAAACACAACGAAAACTCTCTAATCTATAGGAATGCAAGCAGTGTTGAAGAACAAGTAATCTATACTGGTTAGATAGGAATTGTCTCCCATGTAAAGGCTGTTGAGGTTTTCCTTGAATCTGTTTCCTTGGCTCTTCCTTCTAAGTCTGTTTCCTATTTTGTAGGGGCCAACATTAGGACTTAACTACTATCTTAATTTCCCATCAGAAGAATCAAAGTTGGGAACTGATCTGCAAAAGAAGCTGTCGCGGCTCTGTATTCTTGACCTTCTTACTTAATTGAGCATTACTGGTAAGTTTCCATTCAGATTTTAGCTTGTCTCCTGAAGATTTTGGAAAATTTTCTACAAAATACAAAGTTGAAAAAAGGAGGGGAGAGGGAGAAATTAAATATCCTCTATGAAAAAGATGTATCTCACTGACCTTGGAGCAAGACCATACATAAACTGTGTAATGGAGTATAGAGAAATACCGTTCCAATTTGCAATGTACATGGAAACAAAATTTTCATGAGAAGCATGATGAAGATATCTTTTAGAGTAAATGATGGAAGAATTTGGCCCTAACAAAACTAGGGCAGCCATGTTCAAATGCCACATCTTGTAATTATTTTGCTGCTAATCACATCTAGCTACATGTACTGTACTTGTTAACAGAATGTTAAAATAATTAAAATTAGCATTACCAATGAGGTATTGTACTCTTTTAATAGGAAGAGAAAAAAAGAGAGCTGAGTTTGCATTGGCTTTTATTTCCAGTTACCTGGCAGGTGGTCAGCGAACATACCAGTACATAGAATTATACAGAGGGACTTCATACGTAGGACGGGGACTATCTTTAGCATGTTTCTTACAGTGACTAATAATTCACTTTTTTTCACTACCTATTTCAACCAGGGAAACTATGAAGTTTAATTTTTTGTTTTTTTTGCATTGAAACTGGAATTTGAACCTATTTTTCACATTATAACTGGATGAGTATCTGGCTATGCCAGTCTTCAGTCTCTGCAATGCTATCACGTGCAGTGCCCTCGCACATCCTCACAGGAGGTCCTCTTTTCCTTTTCCCACGCACAATACTAGCATCCACAACCTCTTAGCATCTAGGCTGGAAAGGTGATTCTCTTTTAAGAGCACACTGCAGTCCAGAGAAATATTTGTATACCTTCTTTTGTATTCTCAACAGGTCTATGAGGTAACGTTGCCTTCTGCTCTCACTAATACATGGAGCTGCTGAGTGTCTGTAACTGAACAGAGGAGACTGAAAAACCGAAGAATAGAGTCTGATGTTCTCTGATCGGGGTATGCAAATTATGAAGCCCTGTGACTGTAACTCCACTGGGCAGTACTCATTAAGAGGCTACATATTCTGTGCAACCCCTCAGAAAGCAAAGTCTGAAGAATACCACAAAGGAGAATAGAAATCACAGAGGAGCGAGCAATGCCTCTCCCATGCATTAAGCGAATAAGGTAATACGCTGGTGGACCATTTTCTTTGTCTCCTATGCCTGTAAGACAACATGGCCTAGGAAACTGAGACATCATTTCCGAGTGCTTCAACCCTACCCACCTCCTCCAGCTCCTCCATGCAGCTGGGGCAAATAACAGTGTGGGAGGGGGTTAGAAGGGCACTAGGTGTAGATGGAAGGGCAACATTTTCTTAATACCTCCCAGCAGGGTAGTTGTGGAGCCCTGCCAGCCCTAGAGACTTCATAGCCCCAGACATGCTATGATATCTGCAGGGAAAGGGATCCTAGTACGTGCAGGTGAGAGCCTGAAAAGGTACTAGGCAGCACTGCTTACTATACAGCACAGATACCCTTTGAAGAGCCCTAGAAAAGCCACTTGGTGACCTGAGACAGCTGATGCAGGTGCAGAATAGGAACATGAGGGGTCTGCAGAGACAGCTCCTCAGACCACACAGACATCCTCAGCAAAAAAAAACGAGGACTGGCCCCTGGCATCCTCTTACTCACACCTGGGATCAAGAGCTTCACTCGAGTTTCTCTTCTAAGTCTCCCGGTTAATATTAATGGGACTTCAGCAAGGGAACAAGGCGCATTAAGTAATTTACCTACAATACATCCTGGCATTGTTCCCTCACTGCACAAGGATGAGCTAGGAGCTACATTAATTCCTGAAACGTTCTAGGAACCTGCAATTCCTTCGACTTTGCATCCTGTAGAAATTAAGGGTCTTACAAAGAATGAGAATAGGTGTTATGTTTAGGTACTGGCTACCAGTTTTCAGTGACAGTATTCACAGTGCATATTGATTTTCTGTAAAAAGGTGAAGAAAGGAGAAAGACAGACTTGCAAAAAAAAAGCAATTCTGCTTAAAAACCACACAAAGGAAAACACAATCGGACAACTTCCCGTTTGTTGTCAGTTACTTTTAAGAAGACATCTGAAAAATCTGGTTTTGCTTTTAAATTAAAAGATTAAGTGCTATGTAGACGGGGTAACTCCAAGAGCTTAAGCCTTGTTGAGTGACTAATATCAGTTCAGCCAACATATAATTTAAAACAATGAAAACAGCAATTTTCTATATCCACAGATCTCCTCCTAACTTTCCCATTTTCCGCTATCAAGTTTAGTCAATAAAAGAAAGTAGCCGCAATTGAATTTCATGTATAATTTAAAATGAGATAGTTTGAAGTGACATACATTGCTTGTAACACTAAGTTTTGCAATAGTTTAGCTAAGCTTATTTCAATTTACTATCAGTCTCCTAGAAAGCAGTATTGACAGGCACATTAATTAAAATCAACTACAACTGCCTTGAGAGTGTTTTAGCTAAACTGCGGTAATCTCCTGCACAGATACTTCCACAAGACTAAACTGGCCCTGGCGGGAGTTATTTTGCATCCAAAGTGAAGTAACCGCTGCTTTGGGGGCCCAGTTCGGGAGCAGGGCAAGGACAGCGAGGGAGCCGAAGCGCCTCGCGGCTGAGAGGCCCGGAGACAAAAGAGAAGCCCCGCTCCGCGGCAGGACGCCTCTCCCGGCTAGGCTGACAAACCCACGCTGCCCGTTTATCGCGCCCCGTCCCCACGCAGGACGCGGAGCTCCCGCCCGCCGCCCTCCCGCACCTGCGGAGGCAGCGGC